GACAGCGCTGGCTCTTCGGCTTTGAAACGGAGGTGAGCACCGCCCCCTAGAGTCTGGAACGACTAGCCCATATGTGCAAGAGGAACCTTTACCTTCAACTTCCCCAAATTTGAATTGAGGTAGCCCTCGACATACCGCCATAATTGAGCCCAATATTTCTGTTGCTAAGTATTTCTGTTTGCCCTGTGTTATGACCTCTCTTGCCACAGTTGTTAAGTGAATCGCCGAAGTTGTTAAGTGAGTGACAGGGTTGGTTCAGCGAATCTGGCTTCCCCATTGACTTGGTCACGTGGCCCTCAAGGACACAGCCGCCATTATAAATATGAGACAGTAGTCAAAGGCGTCTGAATTATGATCGCGCAACGGTCATAACTGTGAAAAATGGGGGTTTTTTTCGGTGCGGTCATAACTTGGAACGGTCACTGACTGAATCGTTCCAAGTCAAAGGCCACCTGTAGTAATTGAAGAGATGTTTTACGAAAGTGTCGTTCCGGCCAACCTCTGTAAACAAAGAGGGCGACTGTTATAAGGAATCTTCTTTTGAGGTCTCCAGAACCTTCTATGCTTTGAATCCCTACTGGTTTTGAACCAGCCAAAGTGTGCTGCAAATATTCTCAAAAAAATGGCTTCCGTGGAGTCCCTAGCTTTTCACCAAATGGCTCCCATGCAACTGGAGGTTTAATTTAATCAGAATAGAGGTGGAAGGGACTTTGGAGGTCTTCTAGTCCAATCCCCTGCTCCAGCAGGAGCTCTAGATCAATGTTGGCAAACTTTTCAGTACCAGCTGCCGAAACGGGAGCACACACAGGCGGGGGAGTGCCGGAAACTGGAAGAGCAGCTCCTTGACATGCGGGAGCACCAGAAACAGGAAGAACAGTTCTCTGGCATGCATCCAGCCCCGTCCGACGTTTCCCAGCCACTGGAAGAGGCAGCTGCCTTTGGAGGATGACATGAGTGTGAGGAGGAAGAACAGCTGGGACCTGTTCCAGATGCCGCACATATGGGCAGAGCAGTTAGGAGAGGTGAACTAGGGAGGACAAGGAGTCAACTCGGGAAGCGAAAACACATGTAGATGCTGAGTGGCCCCTCCCTGGCTGGGGAATAAATAGAAGGAAAAGGGGAGTGGTGGTTGTAGCAGACAACAGTTCGTATTTCTGAAGATTTTGCTCATTGTGTTTCGTGCCGCAGAGACTGCTTGCCAGAACTTAAATTTGCAGCCTTTTGGCTGGGAGCTCAAGGAATTGATAAGGTCTGTTGCTGCAGTTAACTCCTTGAAGGACGAAGGCCTGGACTTTACGGTGGGTGAATGCAATTAATTCACAAGAGATAAATCAAGAGGGGTTTTTTCCATGACAAGGAGTCTGTTTCTTGCTTCTGCTAAGGCTGGGCCGGAACAAATTTGCTGGGTTTGGGAAAATAGACAAGATTGTGTTGTCAAGACCGCAAAACTTTTGTCTGGTTAAGCATCACTAGTTTTTAGGCCTTAAAAAGAGAGACTTTTTTTAAAAAAAA